CCCATTCACTGCAGAGCATCCATTGCTGAGACACTGATGCAATGCTACATTTCTACAAACCTGATGAAGAAATCTGCATCTTGGATGGCCTGATGGTGTTACTTAATGTTATATCACCAGCTGAATCATTGCAAATATATTCAATTTGTCACCCAACCCTAGTTGGCACCCTGTGAGATGATGAATAACAAGAGCTCTTTTTAGAGGTGTGTGTGTGTGTGTGTGTGTGTGTGTGTGTGTTTACTCAATAGGTAATCACTCCGTGTCGTCGGCTGGTTCTGTGTGCGGAAAACAGGAAAGAAATGGAGGAATGGATCGCAGCGCTGAAGAGTGTTCAGAACCGAGAACACTTTGAGGTGAGTTTCTCCGTTTGACTGGGTATGTTTAGAGACGGTTTAGACTGAAATCTATTACAGCACATTCTTTACAAGCGGTTGTACAGAAAGCAGTGGAAAACCTGTTTTTTTTTTTCACACACAAAATGAGTCAGAATTCAGATTAATTTCTAGTTTAATTGCTAGCAGTGACTCAAAACTACCATTCATATTTTTTGTGCTGTTAAGTGACAGGTTATTATTATTTATTTTATTTTTGATATTTTAGTTTTATTATTATTTTTTTTGTTTGTTTTTATTAATTTTGTTACATGCTTTTGTTTGTTAGGTTTAATTTATTTTTTATTTCAGTTTTAGTTTATTCAGTTATTAGTTATTACTTTCATCTTTCATCTTAAACTGTAGTTGCCATGGCAACATTTATAATTATCATTTGGTTTAAGTTTTCCATCTAATACTTGTATTTTATTTTATTTCAGCTTTATTTTGATTAACAAAAATAACTGTTCAAATGTTTTGGGTCAATATTAGTTTTTACATTTTTTTTAAAAGAAGTCTCTTCTGCTCTCCAAGGCTGCTTTTATTTGATCAAAAATACAGTAAAACTGTGAAATATTATTACATTTTAAAACAGCTGTTTTCTATATGAATATATATTCAAATGTAATTTATTTCTGTGATGCGCAGCTGTATTTTCAGCATCATTACTGCAGTCTTCAGTGTCACATGATCTTCAGAAATCATTCTAATATGCTGATTTGCTGCTTGAGAAACATTTCTGATTATTATCGGTGTTGAAAACAGTTCATATTTTTGTGGAAACTGTGATGTGTTTGTGTCTCTGCTCTAGTCCACTCAGTTCAGTATGGATCATTTCTCTGGGATGCATAACTGGTACGCCTGTTCTCACGCTCGCCCCACGTACTGTAACGTCTGTCGGGAGGCTCTGTCTGGAGTCACGTCTCACGGACTGTCCTGCGAAGGTCCGGCTCTCGTTATGATGTATTCTGATTTGATATGCGATAATTAGAGGTTCTTGTTTAGGTTGATTTTTAATTGTATGGTTTGAATGTGTTTAAGTGCTGACTGGACTGAAATCTCTCTGTGTGTTACACAGTGTGTAAGTTCAAGGCTCACAAGCGCTGTGCGGTCAGAGCCACTAATAACTGCAAATGGACGACCCTGGCCTCAATCGGCAAAGACATACTGGAGGATGAGGATGGGGTGAGTGCTAGTCATGCAAAAACAAATCTGGCTCGGCTCCGCTCTTAGTTTGGAATTTATTCATATACTATTATAGTTTTATTCATATTTGAATTAGCTTTTATTTTTATATTTTTTGTCTAATTTTTAGTAATTTTGTTATACTATTTTGTCAAGTTTTATTCATTTTTATACTGGTTTCTTATTTTCTGCTGTTTATTGATTTGTACTAGTTTCTTTTTATTTAATTCCAATTAATAATTTATACTATTTTCTATTTTCTGCTGTTTATTGATTTTTACTAGTTTATTTATTTTTTATTTATTAGTTTTTATTTATTTCCAATTAATAATTTATACTATTTTCTGCTGTTTATTGATTTTTACTAGTTTATTTATTTTTTATTTATTAGTTTTTATTTATTTCCAATTAATAATTTATACTATTTTCTGCTGTTTATTGATTTTTACTAGTTTCTTTTTTTTTAATTAGTTTTTATTTATTTCCAATTAATAATTTATACTATTTTCTGCTGTTTATTGATTTTTACTAGTTTATTTTTTTTTTATTAGTTTTTATTTATTTCCAATTAATAATTTATACTATTTTCTGCTGTTTATTGATTTTTACTAGTTTCTTTTTTTTTAATTAGTTTTTATTTATTTCCAATTAATAATTTATACTATTTTCTATTTTCTGCTGTTTATTGATTTCTACTAGTTTATTTATTTATTTTTTTTATTTCCAATTAATAATTTATACTATTTTCTATTTTCTGCTTTTTATTGATTTTTACTAGTTTATTTTCAATTTTTTATTTGTTAGTTTTTATTTATTTCCAATTAATAATTTTAGTACTTGGACATAAATTTATGTTGGTTGCCAAGGCAATATTTCTCATTTTTGTTTAGTTGAAGTTTTCCATCTAATATTTATTTTTTATTTGATTTCATCTTTGTTTTAATTAACAAAAATGTTTTTAACAGCTTTAGGTTTAATCAACATTTGTATCATTATTATTATTATTATTTTAATATTACGTTTAGATTTTTGTATTTCAGTTTTAGCTTTAGTTTTTATTTATTTCCAGTAAGTAATTTTAGTGTTTCAACTCAAACCAATTTCAGTTAGTTGCCAAGAAAACATTTCTAAATTTCGTTCTGTTTGTTTTCTAATATTTATATTTTATTTGGAATTTTTATTTTAATTAACAGCACAAAAAATCAATAGTTGTGGATTTAGTTAATTTTTATATTGCTGTATTTTTTTATATATATTTTTATATTATAATAGTATTTAACACATTTAGTTTAATATTTCTATTTAAGTTTAATTACTTTTTATTTCTGTTTCCGTTTTAGTTTATTTATTTTCAGTTAGCAATTTTAGTGCTTTAGCTTATTTTATTTCAACAAAGGCAACATTTCTAATTTTCATTTAGTTTAAGTCTTCCATCTAATATTTACATTTTATTTTATTTCAGCTTTAATTTGAATACCAAAAATGTTTTTGTTTTAGTTAAAGATATTAACATTGCCTAACTAGACAGCATTTTTAGACCTCATAGGTGCATAAATCTGTTCCAAAAAATAGGCTACATTATTCTTACTTCTTAAGTATCATCTAGACAGCACTGCATGCATTGCAACAACGTTACTTATTTAATCCAGTATTGATTTCATTCATGCTATTGCTATGTATTTTCATGCCTGCTGTTCGTGCAGGAAATCAGCATCTTATGAGATTCCTTATTGTGTAAGAAGCTCAGTTAACATCTGAACTGATCACTCATCCGGTAATTAACGGCTTTGTAAACGCTGTAGATCTCGATGCCTCATCAGTGGCTGGAGGGGAATCTTCCCGTCAGCGCCAAATGCACCGTGTGCGACAAAACCTGCGGCAGCGTCCTGAGACTGCAGGACTGGCGCTGTTTATGGTGCAAAGCCATGGTGAGTGCATGAAAGTTAATATTTTTGACATTCGTGACATTTTCTTAATTTAATGGAATTCAATGATGTTCTCCAGGTGCATGCTGGGTGCAAAGACCAGCTCTCGCTGAAGTGCCCGCTGGGTCAGTGTAAAGTCTCAGTGATTCCACCCACCGCCCTCAACAGCATCGACTCAGACGGTGAGCGTCCAATCAGAACGGTCTCTCAGAAACAACCAATCAGAACGCTTTCCCAGAGATGGCCAATCAGAAAGAACCATCTGATGGAAACATCCAATTATTCATTAATAAATAAAATTACTGAAACCTAAACTGAATTAAAAATACATTATCAGTAAAAATACAAAATCAGTTCTGTTTATTTATATATATATATATATATGTGTGTGTGTGTGTGTGTTTTATGTTAACATTTATGCGTTTAGCAAATGCTTTTATCTGAAGCGGCTTAAATTGCATTCAAGGTTTACGTTTTCTCAGTTCATGCATTCCCTGGAAATCAAACCCATATTTATCCAAGCTCTGCTGTTTGAGTTACAAGTTTATGTCAAGAAGAGTGTTGACGTGTGTGTGTGTGTGTGTGTGTGTGTGTGTGTGTGTGTCTGTCTGTCTGTGTCTGTGTGTGTCTGTCTGTCTGTGTCTGTGTGTGTCTGTCTGTCTGTGTCTGTGTGTGTCTGTCTGTCTGTGTCTGTGTGTGTCTGTCTGTCTGTGTCTGTGTGTGTCTGTCTGTCTGTGTCTGTGTGTGTCTGTCTGTCTGTGTCTGTGTGTGTCTGTCTGTCTGTGTCTGTGTGTGTCTGTCTGTCTGTGTCTGTGTGTGTCTGTCTGTCTGTGTCTGTGTGTGTGTCTGTGTGTGTGTGTGTCGGCTCTGCAGTGCCAGCTCGGCGTACTTCCTCTGGGAACAGGAAATGACCTGGCGAGAGTTTTAGGGTGGGGCTCGGCGTGTGACGACGACACTCAGTTACCGCAGATCCTGGAGAAACTAGAGAGAGCCAGTACTAAGATGCTGGACAGGTCAGAGTGTGTCTGAAGTCGCTGTCGCAGTCTGTTCCTGTCCTTGACAAACATTTAAACACGTTTATTTCTCCTAGATGGAGTATTATGGTATACGAGACCAAGTTACCACGGCAACACTCCAGCTCCACGGTAACAGAGGACTGCAGTGAGGACCCAGAGGTAACAGTGATGATATTTCATGCTGCTGTGTGTATAAATGGCCTTCATTTGGACATTTTCTTTATTGTATGTCAAGTATTTATCCTTAATTGTGAATCGGTTTCCTCTGAAAAACTTATTAAACATAAGTAAAAAAAAAAAAATCAGTTTTTGTTAAAGTAGAAAAAATATTTAACTGAAATAAAATAAATTAAAGCTAAATACAAACAATAAATAAATAAAACAGTAATAAAAATGACAAAAGCACATAACAAAAATGCTAAAATAAAAAAAACAAACAATAAAAGTTAATTCAGTTCTATAATAGTATATAAATATATACTGTACAGTATGGTTGCATGATTAATCAAAATAAAACTGAGTGCTTAGTGCAATTATCAAATCTTAAAGGCTGTGATTTCATTAAATAAATATATGCGGTACTTCAATAAAATAAGTATGTGTTTCAAAGTGAAGCGCAGTACTGTGATCTTTTACAAAATAAAAGCTTGATGGTTTAACGTTTGAAAATTAAGAAATTATGACAGCCATAAATATTATTGTATAATTAAATATTTTATTATATTTTTTGTATTACCATAGTAATATTTGTATTTAGTAATAATAACAATTATAATAAAAGTATTAATAATTGTTGTTATCGTTGTATTGATATATAATCATAAAATTTTAGTGCAGTTTGCTTTCCTACAAACAAGCACAGCAAATCTGGAGCTGTTTTATTTATTTATTTTTATTTTATTTTATTTTATTTTAAAATGTTGTAATTTTACAGTTCTTCTTGAAAATTATTGTATTTTTTTGTTTTACATGGAATTATTACAATATAAATGTTTTGATTAGTTATATATTTTATTTAGTGGTAGTAATAATAATCATCATGATAAAAAATATTAATAATTATTGTTATGGTCATGTTGATGTAATCACAACATTTGGTGCAAATTACTGCCCTACAAACAAGCACAGCAAATCTGGAGCTTTTCATTAAGATTTTTCCCCCCAGTTTTAATGTTAGTGAAGGTTTCTTGCACCATAAACAGTTGTAATTTAGAACTTTTTTTCCACCATTTATTTATTTACAATTAAATAATCATTGTCAGATAGTACATCAAAATATTTTCTCTTAAAGTAACCACTGCTGTTCTGTGTTTCCTCTGCTCTGATTGGTTGTTCTGTGTTTCCTCTGCTCTGATTGGTTGTTCTGTGTTTCCTCTGCTCTGATTGGCTGTTCTGTGTTTCAGGTGCAGCACATTCTGACCTATGAGGACTCAGTCGCTGCTCATCTCTCCAAAATCCTGACGTCCGATCAGCACTCTGTGGTCATTTCATCCGCCAAGTACGTACTGTACACGAGCATTTCTGTTCATGCGTATTCTAGCTGGTGGTTTATCTAAAAGCGTGTTTTTCAGAGTCCTGTGTGAGACGGTTAAAGACTTTGTTGCAAAAGTCGGACGTGCTTACGAGAAAAACACCGAAAACTTAGAAGAATCAGAGGCCATGGCTAAAAAGGTCAGCTGTGATTGGCTATCGGATGACTCGCTGTTTTGTGATTGGCTGTTCTGGAGTGTTCTGTGATTGGGTGATGAATGACTCGGGATGTTTTCGTGTGCAGTGTGGTGTGCTAAAAGAAAAGTTGGACTCGTTATTGAAAACGCTTAACGATGAAGCCCAGGCTAGCAGTGTGATGTCTGCGCCTCCACCCACCATCGCTGAGGAGCAGGTGGATGGGGAGGGTGTGGTTCTGGCTCCGCCCACGGCCCCACCCACTGCCCTGCCCCCTTGCTCGCCTCGA